ACCACGAGCCAACGTCCAGGTCAGTGCGGACGGTACCGCCGCTGTCCGGGCGGGACACAGCTCCCGCGGAAAATGTCAGCGTCCAGGTCAGTGCGGACGGTACCGCCGCTGTCCGGGCGGGACACAGCTCCCGCGGAAAATGCCAACGCGGATGGCGCATTGGGAACACACCTCACGTGAGGCCGCGCCGAGTGGATCGAGTTCAGACGGAGCGGCCATTTGTAATCGCACCACGCTGGATTCTAATCAGCAACACGAGGCGGTGCTGAAACACCACAGCTGCAAACGCGGCAGGAGCGGAGAGCAAAGCCACGAGTCTTTTGAAGATTGCTCGAAAGATTGCGTTCCTAAATCACTGGCAGTAAATGGGTGCCTTTGGCACAGGCCTATATCACGTACGTCGAACAGTTATAAGTATTAAGTTTTACGCTTTGCACCTTTTTTAGTGTTACCCAAACATGTCATGAACCAGAGACGTCAATGGATGGGGATTTGCGGGCAAGGTAATTTGTGAATTTGGTCGTCACTTTACAAGTGATCGGGCATCTTGAAATCTACTTTTGATTATCCTGTTGTTAAATTAGCTGACAACTGGAAGAACACGAATACAGCGGTGTTAAATGAGAAAAAAAAAACATTAGCAGTCGTTCAATGATTTCATTGTCTGATCGTCTGCGTCTGCGATCACGAATACAGCGGTGTTAAATGAGAAAAAAAAACATTAGCAGTCGTTCAATGATTTCATTGTCCGATCGTCTGCGTTCAGTCTTCATATATTTTCTTAATAGAACGCATATGGAATGCGTATGTAAAATCCGTCCATCGGCGGGATTGACTACTCAACGACTGCTACATGATGTCGCGCGATAAGGTATCTAAGGATGCAATAATGTATTGGCACCCACAGCATGACCGGCCACGGTCTGCACTTATGACTATAAGCTGGAGCAGTGCCGGCGGCACAAGCGCACATAGTGGAGGTGGACGGTCTTGGGAATTAATGCCCTCATGTGACACCAGCGCTAAGCGATTTGAAAGTGGCGAATCGCTGAAACCTTATTGCCTAACAGAGTGGCAATTGGCAACGTCGATGTACGTACTCGACGCGTTCCTTTCCTTGTGTACATCCGCTTCAGACTAACCTTAATACCTAAATGCAGCTGTGTGATACATGAAAGCCATCAAGCACACTTTTCAAATATTGAAACCAGCTTTGCAAGCAGTTGAGATGTGAATTAAAACCAGCTGAAACGTATAATTTACGAGCTGTCTCTTCTAAAATACAGCAACACCGGGAAGAAAGCAGATTCGCTTATGTTATGCTATCATCATCAACTATGCCACGGTACGCGACCCTTACAGATCGAGTGGACCGAGCCGGACGTGCTTGTAGAGCCAGGATAGGCTGTTTTACGTGCTGGATCGGAAGACGATCTGAATAAGGCGTGATCAGCGGTACTGATACCATGAAGGAGTGCCAAAGACGATGTTCGAAATCTCAACAGAGAAGAGGTTATTATTTATTTCTGCGGAGTAAAGTGAGTTGTTTTCCAATGACTAGAGTTCGGCTAGAGTTTACGGCGAGTGAATGGGACCCGAATACTGAAGCTTCATAACTAGTTTTGCATGGTGTTCATTCCAACACTCTGAAATGGTCTGTTAGTTCCCTAGGTCGTGCTGTGTTTCGTCATGCTGTCATTTTAATTTGAGGGATATAACACCCTGGCACGGTATGATTGTTAGAAGTGATCATGATGGGGTCACGACGCAGCTCATGAAATTTACGAACAATACGATCCAGCTAATGGCCCAAAGTATCATCTTTCCTAGCGAGCTGACTCAGCTCGCGGTTAAAACCAAAACGATTGGTTCGTGAACCGACTCACGAATCAGCTAGAGTCAAACACAAGTCTCGCAAGCACGGTGGATGTGAGGTTTATTAAAAAGCATATGCTCATGGTATCCACAAACAAGGCAAGAAATGGTCAAAATATTTCGATTAGCAGCTTCTTCTTGTAGCTATACGGTATATATGTTAATTATGTTCAACGAATTTTATCCGAAGTACGATTGCTTGAAAGCATAAATTAAAGTATGCATATATAGTGACACAATAGCCTGATGGCGGCATGCCTCGAACTTCTTAAGATCACCCAGATGGCGCTCAACGCAAGGTCATTGAGGTCGACTGGCGTAAGGCCATTGACCGAACGTTGGAAACGACCCGATACCAGAGCTAGTTGAATGAATGATATGCTGACATATTTTGGATTACCTGCAACTCATCGTATTAGTTATCCAGTAATCTAAACTAACATCGTGATATTTTTGTGGTTGAAACAGCAGCACCTGACGATCAAGGCTGCCATCAAGACGAGAAGTATGATAGTTGGGAAAATGTGTGGCGTGGAAGTCACCAGTTACTCGCTAGCTAAATGCAGAGGCTCAGCAATGACAAGTCTGCGGTCATCTTTGCGTTGTTTTTGCACCAGTTTGTGCTACACCCTGGTGGATTCCCCAAATACGACGCACACTTTGATTTTCAGCTCCAAAATGAAGCAAAAATTGGTTCACTAAGCCGTAAAAATACCGAGCGAAGATGTATGCATCACCTGGTGCCAAGGATGTGCCAGGGTCATGTTTACAACATCGTGTACCTATTCGACTTTTTGGAATTTTTGCCTACAGGCTGTAGTGGCCCATGCCCTATGCCTGGTACTTTATCAAATAATCACACTGATTACAATACATTGCATGCAATAATGTTCCAAACCGGTTAACCGCATGCATTTTCACATAACACGTTATAGATAACGTCACACTTTGACTGAACAAGCACCCCTAAAACTTCTAGGAGTCGCGATGCTTTTGAGTATCATGATGTTCTCGGGGCTCTGGCATTCCTGATACACCTTTGATCTGGCTTGTGGTCATGGAGCCCATACTTGCTCTCAGAACTCGAAAAAATTGCATAGCACAGCATATTTCCCCTCCTTGCCAGCATGACCTTGTTAAACATACTTACTGGGAGGGAGGGTCCTCACCAGTGACCACGAATGCCCGCCCACTAAACAGAAAAATCCACTCACACCCGAGGTGAAAACTATTTTATCTTATCATCTCTTATCCCAGCACGCCTATGGCCGCCAGGAGCATGCGTCTGTAGGGATAAAATAAAAAAGCGGAAGGAAAAGCGTACAGAGGCGTTCCTGACATGCTAGGCAGGTATCAAACTACGCCACCCGGAATCAAACATAGATCATAACAAATTTTGCGGCGAGCATTTCACCAATAAGTGCTTGTCCTGCAGGTCACGTTCTGCCAGATTCTACTTTGATTCAATTTCATGGGCTCCCACGATTGCCACCAAGATAAAACAGACCGCGAAAAATCCGGCAAATCCGGCCGGAGGACTCACATAAAAGAAAGGAACCAAATCGCTGACATGCTCAAGAGAATATACTGCCAAGGTCCAAGATCGTTTTTTCGTGCTCTGGAAATGCCAAAAAAAAATGCACAACACTTGACGTGGCCAAGCGACTTATAGGATGCAAACACCTTTGGAACACATAGATCTTGGACATTACCAACAAAATCTACCAACATCCAGATTACCCTTTTCGTTGCCGTTGACTCGCCCCTCACATCACAGAAGCACATTTACCAAATGCTGGGTTAGCCTTTTTGCATTAGCTTATGCGTGGCATTTCGCATCGGTACTCTTCGACCTGAGAGAACACATGTGTCCACGGGCCAAAGTGTTTTGTTAATTCATGCGCTGACAGCCATTCGGGCAAAAACCACGACTAGACTTTGAAGAGACTGTTGCTGCCTGCACCAGCTGTTGCGTGAGCTTTGCGACTGCTCAGAGTAGCGTTTGGTGATAACTGGCCTTTGTGGTAAAATGGTGCATTTCTGAGAAAAACAAACTAGATGTTGGCAAGGAAGGTGGTCGTCGATGGCAACTCCTTTCTACAGCTAGACTGAGCTGACTCTTTGGTGCTCTTCTCATAGTCTTGTTCTTCGATGTCACCAGATGATTTTACACCTAAAGTATGGTGTAAAATGGCTCTAAATTTCTATCCATGTTCTGTCATTAAGTAAACGTAAGTAAACGGCATACCGCACTTCGACCGGAATACTTTTTCAAGACCTTGGTCGCTGTTGACATAAATTGCAACAGCCACCTCAATGCTGGAATACTATTCTGTTGCCCCATATGATAAGCTAAATGTTCATTTCTCACTTAATTTTTAATGTGATTGACCTGTGGGTTGGCGATATTAAACCGGCTTTCATGACCCGTACGTTCCATCCTTTTGTGCCTCCGCTATATCAACCATGGCTCGTCAATTCGTGCATTTTTGATATGATCCATTTGGGTATAGTTTGATTTTAGGATGTAACAGCCGGAAAGGACAGTTTTAGAATTGCCGAACCGTTGGTCACGACATAAGTGACCTAAATGCCTCGCGCGTGTTTGTCTGCAGTAAACTGACTACGCTGCGTGGAGTGGTTAGCTTTGTGTTGCACCAGGGCTGGATTAAGGCGTTGTTCCTTTTGGTGCCGTCAGACAAAATATAAATTTTGACCTTGGTTGATACTTGAGTCACAAAATACAAACTCCATAAAAATATTTAACGCGGTTCAGCACCAAGAGATTGACTATGTTAAACTTTGTTAACCCTTGGATAACGACGCTCATGATGTGCACGCTCTTTCCTTGTTTGTCTACGGTAGATCAACTGCACTACGTCAAATAGTGTCCTTTTGCAATCATGGCACGGAAGGACTGCTTTAGCGCGCAGCATTTTCTCTTCAACTGGCCAGCATTCCATTATCTCTGTTTATGGAAGATACTCTATTCACTAATGGTTTGCTCTTGAACTAGGTCTTGCTCGCCAGACAGGTCCCAAGGCAGGCGCCGCTTCCGCATGGCTGCCGTCCCAGTTGTGCCCATGGCCGGTACGTGCCCGCGTGTTGCGGAACAGTGGACGTACCTTCGGACCGTTTGCTGGCGATGCCCGGGACGTGGCCATAGCCGTAGAAGCGCGATATGTCGATGGCGGCGGCCGTCTGACAGAGGGCCAGCCAGAGCAGGCAGAGGAGCCTGCGGCGCGCCATCGGGCCGGACCTCGATGGACGGGCGCGGCGGTGCACACTGCCGGCACCGGTACCGGCACCGGCACCGGCACCGGCGGTCGCGCTCCCACGCCCGGCTCGACCCGCCAATCAGCGGCCGACGTCGCCGCCGCCGCCAATCGACGCCGCCCGCCGCCGGGGTGTGTCCCGTCATTCTTTGTGGCTGGTGGCGGCGCGCCGGCCCACGTACCCACTGCCATCTGCTGGCCACCCTCACTTAGGGTTGCGCCGTTGGTCTGGCTAATTGCCTGACACATGGATAAAGTGCCGGGCATGTACATCGACTTACATTGGTGGAACGTGCGGATCTGTGAAGGGAGTGGTTCACGAATCGAACGGCCGTTAGGAAAGGACAAAACGTTTACACAAAGTATGATCAGCTAAGTCTTGCTAATTGCTGTGGTGAACAAAATGTTGGAAGCATCACAACTTTTGGTCAATCAGTGCATTGCGCCCCATCAACAGCTGGCGACTTTTCCCAGTCAGCGTCAGTTTACCTAAAAATGTTACGCATGAGGTAAATACTGTGGTTACGTGGAGTGCGCTGCTGGCCATACTCTGGTCGCGACCAGGACATGATCTACTTTGACAGAGCCGTCTCGGCATCTCACGTCTACGCTGCAGCCGGTGTACCAAAACTGACCGGTGCTGAGATGTGGGATGACGAGCTGTGGTCAACGTATCCACCACGGCACGTTCCACAAATGACACTTATCTGGACATATGCTGTTAAGTCAAAATTGTTGAGATCTTAAAACGCAAACTGATTTAATTTTCTCGCAAGTTTCTGCGGCATAATTCAGCTCTGGCTACTGGTTCTTGTTTGACCCCTCGACTTGCCCAAACCTGGTATTTTAATTCTTGTTCGTTGTGGAACCAAAAACTGGTGCCAGGAGAGAGATCAAGGGAACCAGGGCGTGTCTGCTGTCAAGTTCGAGCAGACAACAGATGAGTAAGTTTGTGACTTCCTTTCCTTCTTGGCTGCGACCTTCCCGTACAAGTCCCCGTTCCGTCAGGATTGTTCTTTTAACTTGCACGGGCATTGTCTTTGAAGTGTAAAGCATAACAACTGAGCAAACTGTCATAATCCCTGATTTAATCCGCTGTACGCGAAACATGCGTTTTTTTAATGATTTAGTCCCAAGCTCTCTGAATGGATGAATGTCTGGGATCAGAGCTCAGGTTAAGCAGTGATTGTTTTGTGGGCCCGGATCAGAGGTGCTGATTGGAAAAAATCCCAAAGTCTAGACTGGAGATTAGAGGAACAGGGGCAGAAATCTTTGGAACTTTTTGGACCGCCGATATTATTGTCTTGTTGCAAATCGGTATGCATCGCAACTCATTGCAGATACACCTAACCTACCGACGATCATTTTCTTCCTTTGCACTCGATTCGAATGAGGAAATGCAGCAACGTGAGTGTGGACCGAGGTTGTCGGTTGCGGGTGGCAGTTATTTGGTGCAAACATTGTGAATTTTTGGACAGCCGAATTTTGTGTTCGCTTTTTGAACCAACAGATGGTCCATCCTTGGACTTTGGATTCAACTTCGGACAAAAATTTCCAGAAAATAATATCTCTGGCCCGCACGCCTACCATCCGATCATACACGTACGGGACAATGGCTGAAGTTCGTCGACGAGAGTTGAAGAAAGGCGTACCGCAATGGTCGTAGCGGTCTGCCTTGCCCTCTGACATCATCTGGTCTTAAGAGCAGCCGCGCCATAATTTTGCCACTTCTAGAAAGCTGTGAGAGCACAATCATTGGCTGTAGGGCTCAATCATTAACGTCGTGATCGTTCTGGAGTGGTTTATTTCACGAAATTGTCCCGCGAGTGCAGGCAGATGAAGGCAAATGCATGACATGTGCCCAGTTCCTATAAACAGGGCTGGTGCTAGTTCTAAGGCATGTGATCAGGGGGATTTGTCTCTATTCTGCTGAGGGACAATAGTCCGAACAATTACTCACTACGTGGAACTGATAGCTCGTCTCGATCCTTCGATAAAACGCCTGTGATTGGGTTGGGATCCTAACCTTTCCCGTTGCAAATCCTGATAGCTCCGCCCCCCCCCCCCCCCCCTCCCCCGTCTCAAGTCCTGGCTGCTCCCTGACGTGAATGGATGTCAAGATGCGTCCGATTTCTGCATTCTGATCTTTTCTTTGCAGTTCGTATTGCAAGCTGGTCGCAATGGCACGCGGTCGGCGGTGGGCTTGTAAATAGCCAGACGCACGATTGATGCCCATGACGAGTGTGTTGAATACAAGACATTGCACGCAGAGCGGCATGAATATTAAGCTCCGACAAAATGCGTAGGCTCGTGCTTGAATGTCATGAACAACACCCCACCGTCTGAGGCGGAATGCACATGGAACACATTAAAACGGCGAGCTTCGGCGCCAAGGCTTCGCATACCTTCCCGGGCTTTCATTGTGGACCTTTTGAAAAGTAAAGCTTGGATAGTGTCAGATCGCCAATTAGACATTCCTCTATCTCTGCATTGTCTACTTTGCCCGAAGTGTCGATAAATCGCAAATTTATAAAGGTACGTGACACTGTAGGGTGCTTCATTAGAAATCATGGAATGAGCGAGCTGGTTATTGTTTGAGGCAGGGAGAGTCTTAGGGAGAGTCCGTCTGAGTTCTCTCAGAGGTCTGAGGTCTCTCAGGGAGAGTCCGTCTGAGAGTCTTAGGGTCCCCGACGTCAAATGAAAAATGGCGTCAATGGCTCACTTCAACGAAGAGAGCCGTGTTACGGCATCGTGCATCCGGAACTTCCACGTATGTGCGAAATGGACTCGTCAAAGCGATTGTGACGTCTGAGGTTGAGCTGAACAACCAATGAGCGAGCTCTCATAGCTTCCTAACACCGGAGAAAATAATGACGCCGGCCGCAGGTCTTACCTGTCAAGACCAAATACCGAGCACCTAAAGCAGCTCGACCGCACACCACCGCCGACAAGCGGGTAGGCAGGTAGCCGCTCAAACCATCATCTGGCCGACGATGTAACGGTCTGTAAGTTCATGGTGAAGATCTACGCGTTTTTTCAGTTTTGAAAGCTCATTGACTTCGTAGGCCTGGTTGTATAGTGCATCCTGTGATGCTGCTCATCGTGATGTGTCGCACTTGGCGCATGCCAACATGCCCCTTTGGCTAAACATGGGGAACACAAAGTTTGTAAACTGCTAAAAATGGCCAAATGGTGGCGACAACCGGGCCTCTATCTTGGCAACTAAACCTCACAGTGAAACGCAGTCAGCCCATTAAGACTCGGCAAACGATGGGTTATCCTATTGGCGAAAGCGGGGCCAACGCATGCGGCGCGCTCGCGCAAAAAAGTCACGGATGCTGGCCTGGCCTGGATGAGGTTTTGAAGTATTGAAAAACATGCCAAAATGATCGATGAAATGGCTCTGAGAACTTGGCCGCACTGCGACTTTCATTCTTTCGCTAGATGTTTCCCACTATTTTCCGCTGGTTTTCTCTTTGCTTCCTTTACCTTGTAACACTTTGCTCCACATATCTGAACGAGCTCCACCTCATCCATTTGTTGCCCGTCTTCAACCTTAAAGCTTCTTATCCCTGTTGGCGCAGAAGCTGCGGGTGCCAACCCCAGGGAGGCGCCCAGGGGCGGCGCCACCAGGGGGCAGGCGGGCGGACGACTCCTTCTCGAATGCTGAGAGAATCCATTGAAATTTAGGAGGTCCATTCATGCCAACAGAGGGCTGTAGATGACAGTGACAGCACAGTCCACAGAATCAAAAGAAAGGCTTAAGCATACAGGAAACAAATAATAGCTGCCCGTAGGTGGCCGAAGTAGTCATATACAGGCCCCATTGGTCGATAAGCCGCACTGATCAGATTCAAGGGAGGCCCATGCATAGGAGGTCCCATGACAAAGATAGGCCAAGCTGTATACTAATGTAAAGAAGCAGAGAAGACCGACGAGTTCTTATAGTTATAGAATTGGACGTCAGCGAGACTGAACTAGGACATCGAAACCATAGGGCGGCTTGCATGGAAATGTGCGTAAAAGTTCTAACCCACGGATATGTTGCCACGCACATACGCATGCTAAATCCACCGCTGCATTGCATGTGCAAAATGCGTAGACGGTTGTATGCGTTGTGCCAAGGGTTTGCGTTGTGCCAAGGTTATGCGTTTCCTTTTCAGTAAAAGGGGTGGGGGCTTCAGCCCCTCCCCCATCTTGGGCCCCAGCCTCCAACTCTGAGAGGAAATTGGACTAATTCTAGGGAGAAACCAGTTTGTTGACGCATTTTGGGAAAAGTTTCATCGTTTTTCACTCCGCAGCCCAAACGCCCTAGGAATAATGTGCATCGCAATAATCATTTGCGAGTACGCCGTTTGTTAGCCGCATGATTTCTGACTAATTTTCTATCTACTATCGTGGTGAGGATTGATGATCTTGTTCCACCTATCACAAATTTATGGTGCCGCCCCTGGCCCTGGGCGCCCATTTCTCTAGCAGAAACCGCAACGTATCTTGGTCGTGTCTCCAAGAGCAATGAGGTCTCCTGTGTCCGTCAGGGGCCTACGGTGCATCACAGGTAGCCATGTGTTGGTGAGAGGCCCTGAATCGGCCAGGGGCACATTTGCTGAACAGGGACAGGATCGGCACCTTTAATGTCAGAGGGCCTCTTGCACTGGAAGGGCTCGTCTGGCGAGACAATGAAATATGAGAATTGGGATGCAATGGTTCACTATGAAACCATGGAGGGACTCTGTTTCCGCCAAATGCCCGTGTTAGTCAGTACCGAACATTACCAGTTTTAGTAATATATATATATATATATATATATATATATATATATATATATATATACATCGCTCGAGCTCGAGCTTGAGCTTGGTGTATCGGCCGTGCTCGAACATACAATCCCCTCGATAAAACGGCGAGCTGGAAGTGCACTGGCCAGCCCGGCCACGCATTACTATATAGGTATCTCGCGATTTCATGCATCTGTCGGCATCTATGAGACGAGGTGCCACATCTTGGGCATATCGCACCGCCACACGACGGACGTAGCCTATGTCACACACTGGCAGCTGCCCGGCTTCAGACGGTTTGGGGCCGTCAGAAACGGACCGGTTTCGTCGACCTTGGCCTGGCCACGTTCGCGTGACGTCACGTGTTTGCTCCGCAGTCCGCCAGGGCCAGATACCGCGCGCTGTGCGGCGGCGAGCGAGAGCAGCTCGTGTACGTACCACGATGACGGTGCCCGTGTTTTCGGCGCTGTACAGGCGCATTATCGGCTTCTGTGACCCCCGCGTGCCGACCCGACTTCGACCCCTGTGGGAGCACCCTTGCGGTAAGCGCCCGTATTCCGCAGCACCTGTGGCGAGCGTGTGGGATACGCGCTCTAATGGTTCCCCAGCGCCTCAGTGATGGTGTAAGTTTCATAGAAGTATTTCAGGGCATCTAGTTCATGTCGTTACAGTGTTGCTGAGATCTTGGGTATGTTGTTGGGTGCCGTGATGGGTGTCGTGTTGTTGGGTGTCGTGGTGGTTCCGCTGGGTGTCGTGGCAGTGATGCTGGGTTTCGCAACAGCGTCGCTGAGTGTCGTGGCGCTGTTGCTGGTTGGGATGTGACGGTTCCGATGGCTGTCGTGGGAATGTTGCTGGGTGTCTTGGCAGTTGTCGCTGGGCGTCGTGGCGGTTCCGCTGGGTGCTGTGGCAGTGTTGCTGGGTTTGGTGGAAGTGTTGCTCGGTTTGGTGGAAGTGTTGCTAGGTGTCGTGGCAGAGTGGTGGGTGTTGTGGCACCGTGGCTGGGTGTCATGGCAGTGCTGCTGGGTGTCGTGGCACCGTTGGTGGGTGTCGTGGCAGTGTTGCTGGGTGTCGTGGCGGTGCTGCGGGGTGTCGTGGCAACGTGGCTTGGTGTGGTGGCAGTGTTGTTGGGTGTGGCGGCAGTGTTGCTCGGTGGTGTCACTGCGGCGTGGCTGGGTGTCGTGGTGGTGTTGCTGGGTGTCGTGGCAGTGTGGCTGGGTGTCGTGACAGTTCTACTGGGCGTCGGCACCGCGTGCATTATGCAGCCAGTTTTTTTGTGCCGTCCCGCCACATCTGACCTAGATCTTGCAACAGAACCGAGTACGGACTCGATACCAACAGCAGAGACGTGCACGCGCGCTTGGTGCCGCCTCGCGCTACCCAAGTACGCTCTGTCAGTGCGACTGGTCAAGCGCGCCGTACTCGGATTTTGCTTCATTGATGATATATCCCGAACCATGATCAGATCATTATCAAATGCGGAACAGCTGTCAGCTTCAGGCTCAGCTGTAAACCGAGTTTGACTTTTCGCAACTTGGCCTAAGAGTTTGAAGACTGGCTTAAGAAATCAACTTCGAACTACTGAGACGATTGATCTGAAATCGGGTGGCCGGATAAAATGTCGAATGGATCAAAGTGGAATAAAATAGGGCGAACAAAAAATTGAACGACGAAGTGTCCGCAGGGATAAAAGTTGTAACAGAACAAAAGTCGAAAGGGATAAACCATAAACCTGGAAAAAGCAAAGTCTGGGAGTTATAAAATTTGACAGGCACAGCAGTTCAGATGAAAAAAGCCAACCGACAAAAAGAGAACTGGGATAGAAGTCACATTGGAAATAAGTCAACTGGCAAGAAGGGGACAGGGACAGGGGTCAAGATGCAAAGACTCAAAATCTGAAAACTGCATAAAGATTAAGGCCCACAGGAACGGTATTGATGTGGAGTGGTAGGATGGTATTCAGAAAGGTCTGAGGGAATCAAGTCAAGAGACGGTCCGCCAATGGGCAATCTTGCCTCGATTACATTAACATAATTGTGCAGTTAGAGACGTCAGCATGTTAAAAAGATATCTTTGACACGCCTTTCCTAATTTTCTGGTCGATAGATCCAAAGATTATGATCGAATTGCCAAAACGCTCAAGGGAAATTTATTCCAAGAACAGGAAAAGCAAACAAAATGAACAGAGGTGCACCGGAAAGCAGGTTGAACAAACATGGGTCCGATTTCGGTCACGTGAGCAGACCCGTAGTGTCCCACATGGCTAACAATTAACGGCCGTGCGGCGCACTAAATCTCCCAACTTCACGGGGAAAAATAGTTTTTTTAAGATACTTAAGATTTGAAAGCGAAGTACCGGTCGCGTTAGAAATGTAAGGGTAACGCAAGATGGCCTGCAACTTTTGTCTCTGTCTGAATATGGTTAAAGTATCTTCTCTTGGAAAGGAGTTTCGCGCCTTTTTATAACTTAACCCGTGCAGCGGCCAAAATGCATTGAACGCGACGGCTTAAAGCCCCTGTTATATTCAGTTGTTCTATTTAGTCTTGTATTTTGAATAGCCGGCAGTTACTTTTAAAACTGTAATACCTACAACTGGGACCTTGATAAATTCGTTCGATCTGTGAAAAATGGAAGCAATCCTGTCAAGAAGTTTTCCAGACCTTTTCATTAGCGAAAAGATGCTCAGCGTTTTTCCTTTCGGTGCCATTTGACGGAGTTTAATTTTCGCGTGGCGTTTCTTTTATTTTCGTACCGTCAATGGACTTTACAAAAGCCAACGCCGAGTGTTTATCGATCTGCTGTCTCACCTCAACTCTGTTCAAAGCTTGTGGAAAGCAAAATGATATCGTATATTCTACATTTTTCAATTTTTGCTCTAACGAATGCTGCATTTAACGTCTACACTAATCCTGTGCCATGTAAACCATAGAACGTAACAGGAACATGGTTGAGCATCATAAAAGTTTTTAAAGCAGCATTTAGCTGGGTTTTATTTTCGCGATTCACTGCTTTTTTGTACATTTGGCGCTGGACCATAAAACATGAGCGTGCTGTTATCGGTCGCCTCACTCAGTGTGTCCACGCTCTTGGGCATTTCAAACGCAAAAAAAATACCTGATGCTACTCTATTTTTACGAAAACAAGTTATTTAATTACACTCACACGATGACAGTAATAAGCGCAAACAGTGATCAATGCTAAATAGGCATCAATAACCATGCTGCCCTCGTTCCGCGCAAAGATGTCACACCTTTTTAAACCGTGTTGTCAATGCTAAAACTTTTTTCCAACGTGCCGTGAAACATTTCAAAGCGCTATTCACTTCCCAAGTAGAAAGTTCCGCCTGACGTGCTGACGCACCAGGCGCTCCGAACCATAACAGTACTGGTCAGCATTGCGACGCAGGTCAATGTTGTTTTCTCTACTAACTGCGGACTAAAATGGTGACACGGTCTTCCCGTGTTCACGAATTGCTCGCTCATGCAGAGGAAATGTATGTGCATGTATGGTGTGAAATCCATGTCGAAATATACGCTCAAAAAATCCTTCCGGCATGCGTCACACAAGCTGTCAATAGCAGCTGGATCAAATTATCTATCACTGTACATTTTTCTGAGCCCCCCTATCAACTGCATGACTTTGTAGTTGATGCAGGTGATTTTTTGTTTGATCTTTGACCTGGCATAACGGGCTTCATTATTGCCCCAGCAACATAATACGAACTGCGCATACCGATCGCGAGACTTCGTTAGGATCAGTCCATTATTGTTTTCTGCGGGCATATGTCGTTCTTAGTTTGGAAACCTCGACTGGGTACCACCGCGCATCTGGAGGGTTTTGCATGTGAAGATCAGCAAATTTCATAGCAAAGGCGTCATTCAACGCGGCAGCGCGAGCCAAGCCATCCGACACGAGAGTCCGCGCAAAGTTGTACAAGACTGGTGATATGCAGGGCTTCCCGTGACACGTTTGAAAACGACAAGTACCGCATGGGCATGGGCTTGAGGTCGTCACTTAGTTTATGTAAACATTGAGAGTGTTTGGATTTAGACACGGATCTAAGACCACGCGACCTGTTCGCAAACTTTAGCCGTGGTCGTCGGCCCGGGGTTTCTCCGCAGTTGTCGGAAAGCTGCTTCTTTCAGCCGGAGAGCAGCTCGCACCGCACCGTCGAACCAGGATGGCAGTGGGCGCCGGAGCATCACCCTGGGGAAGGGGTCGGCGGTGGCCGACCCACACAGCGTGTGGAAGGTGTCCACTGCTTGGTGAATTCGGACTTTATCCAGTAGTCCTCATGGGATCCGACAGAGACTCCGACTCAGACCCTCAGAGTCAGCGCTCTTATCCATGGGCGCAGTTTACCGATTGACCTCAGGCAGACTGTTAACGTTCAAAGCCCGTGTGGACCCCAGCCTTACCAGCTGTCCCTTCTTGCAGAGGATATGGATAAACCAGACATGGAAATGCAAAGCTCAAGCATGACAGCGTGTGTCCATGTGAATAAGACGGCTACATAGGGCAGCCTATCCCCTAGAGTCAGTCCTAGATAAAATCAAAATACCAGCCCATCTGCAGCCCATGGTAACGTGGGCTCAGTTTGCTCATACAAGTCCATGTGAAGCTTTTCCTTACTAGCTGTCCCTTCTTGTGAAATAACTTGCACAGAACATGACAGAACCCGACGTGGAAGCATGAAGCATTAACAATATGTGTCTTTGTGACCAAGATAGTGGCATGTGGGCAGCACATCTAGGTCACATATAAAGCCCAGATACCATACCCAACTACAGCCCATGTTGATGTTAGCCTAGCTTGCCCATGTAAGGCTCACATGATTCCCAGCCTAGTGACCGCTCTCTTGTTGTGGATTAATGGTCCTTAATATGACAAACCTAACAATGTAACACGGCACTCCGACGTTTCTAAGATACGCGAAAACGCTGTAACATGAGCAGCGCATATTGAATCACGCTGGAGCCCAGATAACAGCCCGCTTTAAGTCCATGCCCACAGATGTTCAGCTGCCCTGCGTGCAGTCCATGTGGGCCCCATTTGGGCTTGCTGGATGAGATGCAAATTAATGCGCATATGATTTGGTGAAGGACAGGGATGTACTCAGTGTTCCTAACCTCCTTGAACGCACACCTTGCCCAGCTCGAATTCATATTGAAGTGAATCTAACTTGCCCACGCGCAGCCCACACTAATGAGATCCAGGCCAGCTGACCTTCGCAGTTGTACATTGCGTGGTAAAGCCTAACCAGGAAAATGCTTTGTCTATGACATGCTTAAACCCAACCAGAACACGGCACCAAAAGTATTCCGCACATAGTCAAGATAGTAGCATATGGTCAGCCCCCCCCCCCCCCCCCCTGAGCCCCAGATGGGCTTAGGCACCAGCCAGCCTGTATCCCATGTTGGCATGTGGCCAGCTTGCCCACAGGCAGCCCGTTTGGATCCGAGTTGTGCTGCTTTCCCTGGTTGCAGGCTAGTTCGAACACGATAAGAAAAATATCCGACTGTTGAGGGCAAAGCACAAAAATTA